GGGGGGGGGGAGGATCCAAGGAAAGCTGGAGGGAGGGAGAGGACCCCAGCAGGGTAGGAGTTCCTTCCTGTGTTGCCCTGGCTGCCTCCTGGCAGCTTGAGGGTTGATCCTCGGTTCTGCCCCTCACACAGTAGGTGCTCAGAAAATAACAAGTGAATGAAGGAGGGGAGGGGGCAGAGCTTACAGGAGAGGCCCCACCAGCAGGGAGCAGAATGAATTTCTGAAGCCCACGTTCCCCCTGTTGGCACAGAGGCCCATGCGGACTGGTGTGTGGGGAAGGCCAGGTGTGGGTGGGTTGGGCTGCGGGTGGGCTGGGACAGGATGGGAGCCAGGAGAGTGTGTCTGGGAGCCTGAGGGACCTGGGCCACGTCCCACCCTTCAAGGAGACCTGAATATGGGTTTCCTTCTAATTTTAACTGAAAACCACAACCATCCCACAAGTCATTTGTTGCTAATTACACAGGTAATTGGCTCTGAGGCTTTGGCAGAGGTAAACCCCACAGCAGTGTGACAGGCTGCTAAACTGGAAGGGCCCCTGAGAGGGTGGGGATAGGGTGGGGGAAGCAGGAGGGGGGAGTGAGGACACCCTCAGCCTCCCCACCCAGCTGCCCACCAAACAGGCCCCTGATGGCTTGGCCCCCCTCAGGGCTGCAGTGCGGTCCCCATCAGCACATACTCAGTCCACGTGGGCCTCTATGCCAACAGGGAGAACGGGCTTCAGAAACTCATTCTGCTCCCTGCTGGTGGCACCCTTGGGTGAGTTACTGGCTTGCCTTCCATGCTATGGAGGTCCTGTCTGCCCACAGGGGAGTCTGGAGGCGCCTTAGAGGTCAGCCTCCTGGCTCCACTACCCTTCCCACAGGCAGCCCGAAACTTACAGAGGGCTTCTAACAGGGGGCCCTGATTCCTTGGGCTTGGACAGACCCCTCTCTCTTACCTGCACAGGGATCCTCTTTCTAAGGTGGGTTTTGGCCCCCTCCCCCCCAAGACTGTGATTTTGGGGAGGGGATCTGCGCTTGGTCCTGTAGGTGTCCTGGGCCAGGAGGGCGAGCTGGGAACACCTGCTGAGAAGCTGAGAAACCTGGTGTGACTTCAGGAGAGCCCCCAACCCTGCAGCCCCTTTCTTCACCTGAAGAATGGGGAGAGGGAGAGAGAGCACCCAATCCCCAGGGCTGCTGTGGGGATGAAATGAAAAAGGCACTCAGTGCGTGCTCAGTAAATGTGGCTGCTGTCATACCCCGTGCTTTTGCCCTGATGATGGCAGAGTTTTATCTCCCTCAGTGCAGGAACCCTCACGGCAATCTCTTCAGGGGTGGGGCTGCTGAGGAAACAGGCACAGAGCTGGCAGGTGCCTCGCCCTCAGGATGAGGGGTGGGGGTGGAGATGCAGGCAGAGGGGAGAAGTCATTTAGATATCTTACAAATGGGGACTCTGAGGCCCCAGGGGCATCACCCCAGACACCCCAGCTCTGGCCCTGGACTCAAAAAATGTCTCGGAGCAGCCTTGTGCCCCTTTTGTTATTGCATTTGCTCTTCACTGTCACTCAGCAGCCACTTGCAAGTCCCTGACCCAGGCAGCTGGCTCAGCCAGGGTGGGGCTGCATCAGGCTCCGGCTGCAAGGTCTAGAGATTGAACCGGATGGGGAGCCTGTGAGTATGGACTTGGAGTGGGTAGCTGGTAGGTCCAGTGGCTTCTCTAGACATTTATCGGGGAAGCCACAGAATCTCAGTGGACTCTAGGCCAAGCTTGACTTCTGAGCAGGCCCGCAGGGGGCTCTGGGGCAGGGGTCACAGGCTCTGGAGGGCGTGGGAGCCCCAGCGGCAAGTGCTGGCCTGCCTGGGCCCTCACCTTGCAGAGACTCAGTGTGATGGCCTGTGCCTGCCGACTGGCTGGGGGTGGGCAGGGGTCCTGCCTGGGGGAGTGGGCAGGGAGTGGGTGCGTGGTCCTCCAGTCTCCCTATTGATCACCGCGCCAAGCACTGCTCACGTCAGCCGCCTGCTGAACCCAGCACAATCCCTCATGTCTACATTTAACTGCTAATGAAAAATAAATGTACTGTGACCAATAAGGGACATAGCTCACTTCTCCAGGGCCTCCGTCATGCCACACTGGTGTGACCACCCCTCCCCACTCCGGGGGGGGTGGGGCACATTTATTGGGTAGAACCCAGGGGCACCTTCTAGGTTACAGCAATGCCCTCTAGCAAGGACACTCTGAGGCCATGGGTGGGGGTAAATTCAGGTTCCACTGGATGTCCTCTTAGGGCTGCAGAAGCTGCCTGGGCAGCCAGAACTGCCTTCCCCTCCCCCTGGCCCCTGAGTCCACTATGGGACCTCCACCCTTGTGGTCAGCACCTGCAACCTGCCTGACACCCAGTTAAGCCTCTCGCCTGAACCAAGGCTCAGTGTGAACCTGAGGTCTCTCCCCTCCATACTGCAGGAAACTAGAGTGAGTATTTTTCCTCTTTGACAGGAATCCTACACTTGTCTATCAAAGACAACACAAGGCAGTGCATGCTCACTGCCAAATGATTATAATCCCTTCAATAGGGCAAAAGCTCTCTAGTTCACCTAAGTCCTCACCGCTCCCTAATGCCCCACTCTGGGCTTGCTTCTATTTTTTTATTTTATTTTATCTGCTTGGCTTCCATGGGTATTTCAGGATGGTGCCAAGCGCCTCTGGCTGGTATCTCTGAGCCTTCTATTCTGGCTCAGTCCACTCTCCAGCCTTCCTGTGTAGAAACACTAATCCCTCCTAGGCACTGCCTCCCACCTCCAGGTCTCTGCCCATGGTCTTCTGTCTGAAACACGCTTTCTTCCTCCTCTGCCAGCACCTTCCTACCTTCTCCTAAGGGTCCAACTAGACTGTCACTTTCTGGAAAGAGGGGTTCCCCACCTCACTTTCCCAGGAAACCACACACACTGTTTAGCCCTCTCTGCATCTGGGACCTGTCCTCACTGGTGCTGTCGCTCCTACAGCAGGAGGAGCAAGTGAGTGGCTGAGGCCTCTCTCCCCACCAGCAGACTGTCCATCTCTGGTCCCTGCTGCCCAGTTCAAGGCTGCCTAGTCTGATGTTAGTGACTGGGGGCTTGGAGGGGTGCCTGTTGGTGCTCCTTTTGGGACTGCTGAGGTCACAAACATGGAAGAAATGCTCTGGCTGCGGGAGGTACAGGCAGGTGCAGGGCCCTCTGCCTACCCAGGCCCCGCCACTTCCTGAACCCCACACTCCCCAGTTTTCCAGAGGGAGGCTCCATCCACCATACCCCCAGCTAAGGCTTTCTCACCCTCACAGGACGTGGCCCAGCTGCCCCCTGGAATTCTGATAGAAGGTCTCTTTCACTTACTAGTGGTCCTGATGGGCTCTTGGTCACTGGGAATTGCAGAGGGGGCTGTGAGGATGGCACAGGCCCTGAAGGGGGAACCCCACTTCCAGTGAGTACTGATGCTGATTCGCTGTCCCCCACTTTTCTCAGAAGGGCACTGACACCCCTGCTCTGTCTGCTCCATTCAGGGTGGGAGCAATGATCTTAGCCATGATCTGTTGCTGGCCCTGGGAAGACGACATCTGTGTGTGTGTGTGTGTGTGTGTGTGTGTGTGTCCATGTGTGTGGGGAGGTTGGGGGCCAAGGTGGGGATGAGAGACCAGTGGAGTGGACCATGGTGGGCCTGCCTCAGGTGGTTCATCTGGGAACTTCCACCCAGCCTTCAAGTTTCATCAAATGTGTCACCTCCTCCAGGAGGCCTTCCCGGACCTACACTTTTTGTTACCTGCCCAAGTGCCCACCCTGTCCCCTGAACCTCCCTCTAGGGTACACATCACATTCAGGACTAGGGTGGATTTGTTTGCACATTACCTCTGCTCAGGGTAGGAACCCAGGTCTGGCCTGGATATTGATGGAGTATTTG